TTCCCCCCCCCCCCCCCCATCTATTCCCAACTGAGCAGCTGGTGTTCAGGATTCAGTTGTTAGTATGTGACTCTCTGGGTGCCCCACCTGTCCACCCCCCTATCTCCCCTCAGTGAGCAATCTAAACCCCTGCCCACAGGCAAACAGCATAGCACACTGCCCCTTAACCTTGTTCAGATTTCTTTATTGAAAAATTAAAGTCATAAGCTCTGTATATAAATACACTGACATTGCTGGTCGCCTGCAAGGCCTCTGGGATAGGCTGGGGGAGCAAAGGGAATCTGGAGCCTGGGGTCCCCTGAAGTGCAGGAAGGGAAATAAATAAATAAATAAATACCATAGGGACACTGAGCTAGGAGGAAGGGGTGCAACTGGTGTGAACAGGCGTGCTGGCGGCTCATTTGTGGCACTGAAGGTCCCCCTGGCAGGAAGCAGTCTGTGAATTCTTCTGTGAGCTCATAGCCAAAGGCCTAGGCATCCGGGGGTGGCAGCACCCCCATCTGGCCCAGAGAAAGGTGCTCTGCCTTCCTTCCTTCCTTCCTTTTGCTAACACAGTTTTATTGATCTCCCACTGTGTTTCTGGCACACAGATTTTGACCTGACTTTCTGCTTGTCTTGTCTGGTTCTCTTTTTCTCCAATGTGGGCCAGGGGACCAGGCAGGATATATGTGTCAGGGTGGAATGGGGAAGTCTGCCTGTGACCCTGTCCTATAGTCCTGACTTTGGCCCCACCCCTAGAGCATCACGTTGAACTCAGTGACCAGAAAGTCAATGTAGTCTCTCTCCTTGGTCTTGAAGGCCTCCGCAATGATCCGGGCAGCCTCTCTGTGCTCCTTACCCCGAAGCGTCAGCCCATTCACTTCCAGAATCACGTGGCCCACCTTGAGCTGCCCACAGTTATGGGCAGAACCTCCTCGCTGCACAGGGAGACACAAGTAGGGGTCATGTGGGTACTTGGTTTTGACCACCCGCTAAGACCACCCACTAAGATAAGTGGCTATGCTGCCAATCTAAAGTCTACAGTCCTGGCAAAGTTGGGCTCTGCAGAGCAAGAGGAGGCAACTTTGCAAGTTCTGGGCCAGGATGGAGTGGAGGACATGTTCCAGCTAGCCTGCCCAGGCAGCCCAACACTTCAAGGAGCTTTCTGTTCAAGAGGGGTGCTGGGTCTGTCTTCAGGTTCTGTATTATCTCTTGGAGGCAAATTCTGAGGGTACTGAGAAAGCTCTTTAAGATGGGGAGACTTACATACCTGAATTGTGACAATCCTGGGCAGAGGCTGGCGTGTGTTGGCACCACCCTCAATGGCGATGCCCAGTGTGGCTGCACTTTTCCTCACACGGACTAGAGTGGACGTTGGCTCCAGGAGGCCAGGCTGCAGGTGGGAGAAAGGTGGTCTTGATCAGTGGAAGACAGTTGGAGCCTCAAATATGACATAGACTAAGCTAAGCATCTCGTGTCCATGGCTCTTTAATGATGCTCAAGGCCTGGGTGCCTGGGGTAGCAGAGACTTGAATCCCAGGCTTGACCTTAGAGACTACCTGAGCTACCATGCCACACATAGAACATCTGCCAGCCCTTGCCACTCAGGATCAGAGCAAAGAGGGGCTCCAGATTTCCAGCACAGTGACCCTTCTGGATCACTCCAGCAATGCCTCCTAAGAACCACATGCTAAGTGTCTCCTGATTACCAGGACCATCCATCCTCCAGAATCCTGTGTGCACTCTCCCACTCACAGGTTTATTGGCACCCTCTGTGGTCCTCTCCGTCCGGGGCAGCTCCTTGCCACTCTTGCTTTTAGTGGACGCTGTCTGTCTGCCTCGACCTGAGGTGCTGGCCTCTGTCTCTCCGGCATCCACACCACTGTCCTCACTTAGAGTCTGCCCACTGTCTGAGAGCTGAGAGAGTGTGGAGGCTGCTGGGGACAGACAAGGGAACAGAAGCAGTCATGGAGGACAACTTGGGGCAGGTGGTGGAGCTGGGGGCTGGATGGCAATGTAAACTCACCATGCGGAGATAAAGGAAAGGATGCAGGGATACCGGGGCTGGAAGGCAGGGAATGTTCCCTGCAACTTTCCCCATCTCCTCACCATCCTGACCTGCCAGCAGGGCCAGGCCTGATGGTCACTACATCCAGACTTCTGCCCAGACCCCCAACTACTGGCATAAATATTGAAAATAGAGGTTCGTGGGCCAGCCCAGCTTACAGAAGTGGGCTGTTGCTTTTGTTGTTTAAATTCACACAGTGTCATTTTTTAACGATGGATGTTTGAATTAGGATTTTTTTTTTAAAAAAAAAAGTTCATAGTTTCACAAGAAAAACACGGAAGGCCTGCCACCCTGTCCTGTACCCCACCCCTCATGTTCTCCCTGATACAAACTGAGTGGTGGGCACACATATACATATCCTATTCTCAGCCAGCAAAGCTGTTTCATTCTGTGTGTGGCCACTGGACCCTGACCTGGAGGTTCTTGCTGATATTGTGCACCGTGGATCCTGGTATGTTGGGTCTGAATGCCCCAGGGCTAGCTGTGCGCGCCTGGGTGAGTGATATAGCCTCTCAGTGCCCCCTGCCTTTGTTCTAACCCTGGAGATTGATGCCTACATCACAAAAGTGGAGGGCAGATTGCTCTCATAGCCTGGCTCTGTCGCTGCCTACTGTATTTCAGGCTTCACTTGGGAAATGGAGACTAACAGAATGCCGCCGCCGGCACAGGGCTGGTGGCAGGACTCCATGAGTTAAGTACAAGCAAGGTTTCTAGTCATTACTGGCTCCCACCATCCCCTGCCCAGTACATCTACAGAGGTATGATTTCTCTTCTCACACCTGCCAGTTGTTCCTCAGGGCAGGAACATAGTATTCAGCATCTGTGCTTGTGGCCTCAAGTCCCTGGACCCTGCCTGCCCTTTCCTAGGCTATCTAGTCGGGCAGCATATATCACTTCAGCCACAAGATGGCAGCAGATCCTAGCTAACTGCTGCACCATCAGGGCTTCTTCAACACCCTCATTGGGCATCCCTTAGAAAACAAGGGGCCCAGCCTGGCTCTGTGCTGCACTCTGACTTCTATACACAGTCTAGAGGCCCAGTGACTGGGACTGTCATACCGTGGAAACTAGCACCTTCTTTCAGCTAGACTGAGTGGTCGGGGCAACAGAGGCCAACCTTGCCCTGCCCTGCCCTGCAGCACAGTCTTCTACAGGAGGCTGTGAGATGGATGCAAAGTGCAAGGGCAGGAAACCCCTTACTTCACCCCCCACACAAACCCAATCAGTGACATGTCTGTGTCTACTCCATATTACCAGGGGAAGGGGCCACTCACTTAGAGTAGCTGTGCAGCAAATGACTGGTCAGTGGCAGAAGTGGGATTCAAACTCAAATCTTGGCTTCAGGCCATTTTCATGCTGACCTTAAGCCAGACCTCATGTAGGCTAGCAGACCCTTCTGCAGCACCTGGCCCTACGCGTCACAAAAGGAAAAGTGTCCCTGGGGACCAGAGACCCCTTCCTGTGTCACAGAGCTGGGCAGTCATACTCACTGCGTGTCTGGGGCAGAGCCCGAACTTCATTCACATCAGGCTCGCTATCCGGACGGTGTACCTCCACCAGGACAAAGTGCTGGTTTGCACCCACAGGGTCAGGGTGGTCAGAGGGTGATGGTGGTGGAAGGCAGGCCCCAGCCCCTGGGGTCTCTGCAGCAGGGCTCTTCAGGTGTGGTGGGGATTGGACCCGAGGGAAGGGGCCGATGGGGTTCTGGTTAACCAGGGCCAGGTGGGTGTCCAGCGGCTTCCGAGACCTGGGGTTGGCATGGGAGATGGAGGCGTAAATGGGAGAGGAGGGTGAATCCTGTGCTGAGGGGGGCCCTGGGGTGGGTGCAGTGCCCAGTGGTGGGCTTCGATTCCGTGGTGCTGAGAAGACAATGCCTGAGTGGGCAGCAGAAGACAGAGGTGCAGAGTCCTCCCTTCCTGACTTCCATGTCTGGCCAAGCCGATGGTCGTGATCTTGAACCAATGGTGGTGGGGGAGGAGGTGGCTTGATGCCAGACAGATCTTCTGAGGGAGATTTGACATCGTCCTGCCAAAAGACCCAACAGGAGTAGAAGTCAGAGCCCATGGTGGCCAGAGCGGGACAGCGTGCAGTGCTGGATCCAGCAAGGATTCTGTCCCTGTGCCTCCGCTCTTGGCCACACTCTGTTGAATAATGCATCGCTCAGTGGAAAACTGCTCCCTACATCTCGGCAGCTGAGGAGCGCCAGGATCTTGGCAGGTGTCTCTGGGGACCCACTGGTTCCTTTGGGAATTGAAGTTCTTGGCGTCAGCAGGGGCTCATCACGAGTGACAAGACTTAATTAGAGGAGGAGAAAGAGGATGATAACACAAAACACGAACTTCCATTGCAGGAATGATCTTGACAAGCAGAGGTGGGAGGAAGGGTGGAGGCACCTGGGGGCTGCAGGGCTGGGTAGCCACGGACAGGGCAAGGTGCCTCTCTGAGCACAGTGCACCCACCTACCAGCAGGTTAGCAGGGATGAGAGCAGCAGAGTGCACAGTGTGTTGACAAGGCACCTGAGATGCAGTGTGACTGGTGAGCAGGAGAAATGGCCCATGGCTACCAGTTCCCTTCCCTTAGGCCAGTGTCCACACTTGGAAAGTTCTGACAGCCATTTAGGCACTGTCTCAACGCTTTGATTAAATCACTTGACTTATTCTGGCCCCAGCTATGGATAAGATGCAACATTTTCATCTCCATGTTACAGACGGGAAAATACAGACACAGAGGGCTAAAATACCTGCCCAAGACCACACAGGCAACAATGAGGTGGGACTAGAACCAGGCAATGAGCTGAGTTGGTGGGCTCTTGGCAGAGACTGTCCTCCTACCTGCCCTGTGTCCTCTTTCTGTGGCTATCCCCAAGAAGAGCCCAGGAGTCCATGAGCAAAGCAGGGCGTGTAACAAAGGAAGTCTTACCACAGACACATCCGGGAGGGTGTTAACGCTGCCTTGGGTGGTCTCACCAGTTCCCTCCAGGTCTAATGTATTCTGGAAATGGACAAGAGACAAGCTGAGCAGGTTAAGAGCTGAGAGGAGAGCTCATCTGTTTCCAGGACACGGAATCTATGACCTTGTGATACCTTCAGTGGCTGAGGTTACCCTGGCAGACCCCACTCTGGATATTTACCTTATCCACTCAAAGCAATATAGTAACTTTATCTGTTAGTCACTTTGAAGTAAAATTTTCTTTATGATTATTTTTGAGACAAGATGCCAAGTTCATGCTGGCCTCCTTTTAAACTTGCTATGTAGCCGAGGATGACCTTGAATTGATTCTTTTATCCACCTCCCAAGTGATAGGATTATAGGCATGTGCCAGTACATTCAGTATATATGATGTCTTTCCAGACAACAACAAAAGCACTCTTATCAACTGATCTGCCATTAAGTCAGTTTTTCTTTGTGACTTCCTGATCATTTACAGACCTTCCTTGAACTACCTGGAGATGCTGGGGATGTCTTAGAATTGAGCCTTAAGTGTTATGCTCAACAGATTTAGCACTCCCACATCTAACGGCAGACAGGATGCCGGCTGGGAGAGGGGAACACAAATGCCAATATCGCTTCAACCCCCAAAGGGGTAACAGTGTATAAGTGGATGTCATATTACAAAATATCCATCTCTTCCTTCCTTCCTCCACAGTGTGTGTGCATGTGTGTGGGTGTGTCTGTAAGTGTAGTACGCATGTGAGCTGATGAGGAATCAGATTCCCTAGAGCTGGAGTTACAGGCAGTTGTAAGCCACCCAGTGTGGGTGCTGTGAACTCAACTTGGTTCAGCTGGAAGAATAGCAAGTGCTCTTATCCCCTGAGCCATGTTTCCAGAGCCTCACTCCTACCCCCAGCCCACACTCCCTTAAGTGACTTCATGATGCCGAAAGGCTTTCTCTGGACCAGAAAGATGAGCTCTTCTGAGCAGGGTTCTCTGGGGGTGGGGTGGCTCTGGGAGCCCATCATCTCATGCCTCCAGACTATCAATGAGACTGCACCCTGTATTCACCTGGCTAGATTAGGAGATGCCTAGGTAGCTGGTAGGGGACATTTTTGAAAGAAATCAGCCACAAGCATCATCCTTCCCGCTGTGCAGCCTTAGTACCTGCCACAGTCCCAGAGGAATATCACAGTGGAGGATGACTTCAAGGGATACCCTCTTCCTCCTGCCTCCTGGTCTACTTTTTCCTTTTGCAATGTTAGGGTTGAACACAGGTCCAGACCAGCACAGCCCAGAGCTGAGTCTCACCAAGCCCTTCGTCTGCCCTCCCACACCAGGACTGCTGCTTCTCGAGCTCCAGATAAAACAGCCAAACTGGGTCTCTAGCCTATAGACGGAAGTCCTGGAACTTCCTAGCCACCACAGTCTCCTGAGTGTTGGCCTCGTGAGTCTTCCTGTGTCTTAGAGTAATTCTGTAGGTTGCTTCCATGGACAACGCTGGCTGATGCAGGCACCTAGACCTGGCTCAAGTCTTTAGTGAACCGTCAATGCTGAATGAATAGTCCCAGCAGCAAGGGCTGGAGGTGAGGCATCATGCTGCCTGAATTTGTGTGTATGCTGTTGGGTGGGGGGATTTAGATCCCAGAGGGCATCCCTTAGCTATTAGCATATACTACATGGGGGAGCAGAGACCCAGGAAGGCTTCCTAGATGGGCCATAGATGGACACTGGGTTTGACTGTGAGCAGGGAGCCAGGTTTCAGATGCTGGAAATTGTGTGTGCATAAGCACGGAAGGCTGCTTGAGAATTTTCTGCCAGCTCTTGGGTCACACTTGGACTTGAGCCTGAGGGCAGTGGGTTGCCTCAGAGATGAGGTCAAGTTTGCTTTCCACGAAGATTCCATTTGTTCATGGCCCCTCCTGCCAAGTGTGAGTGCTGCGGGCAGTGTGGCTCGCTCTTCTCACTAGCCATTGTCTTAGTTGGGGTGTAGATAGTCCAGACCTGCTGGGTCCCAGGTCACCTCCGGCATGGGTTCTACCTGAGCAACCCATCCCTCCCCTTGTCCCATTTTCCTTTCTCTCTCATCACTGCTCACCACCCAGCAGCCAGACAGTCCTTGGAAAAGAAATCAAGTAATGTGCACCCCCAGTACAAGCAAGGCCCTGAGGCCTTAACAGCCCACTGGGAGAAATTCCAAGCCCTAAACTCACTGTTGGCTACATGACCTGGCCCTTTCTTGCTTCTTCTCCAGTACAATGGCATCACACCTGCCCCAGAGCCTTTGCACGTCCTGCCACCTGCACCATTCATGATTCACTTGCACCTTTCCTTTGGTTCTTGCTGCTTGAGGCCTCCCAGACCATCCCTGTCTCCATAGGCAACACAGACAGCATCCTCCATCTATCCTGACCTGGTCCACTTTTCCATACCCAGGTCACATGTGACTGTATTACCTCTTCTTCCTACTGGGTATAAACTAGGGCAAGACTTAGGCCACTATGCCTTTACTGTTCAGAACCATGGCAGCTGGGTCTACCAGGTAAATAAATGGATGAGTCTATATGATTGGATGGATTGCTTGCTTTAGCTACTGGGGGCTGAGAATGCTGGGAGTTGGGAGTGGGGTGCTGTGTTCTTTGTAGGGGCCAATAATGATGGCTGGAACAAGAGGGAGGCACAGTTGTTCACAGAAGGCCCTAAGGCAGAGATTCCTTTTTCAGATGCTTCACATATTCTGGGGTGACAGAGGACATGTGTTTGCAAAGGTCAGTAGTGAAGCCATAGATAGACAGGATGCTGGGTCCTCTTCGTAGGCTACCCCTGAGTTTTCTTGAGCTCACATCCAGCTCTGCCTCTTATGGCTGGGTGACAACAGGCAAGTCATAAGCCTCTCTGTGCCATACTGTAAAAGGGGAAGCCGGCCATGTCATGCAGCTGATCCATTAGTCCTAGATGGCTCTTCCCACAGGGCCTGGCGCTGTACCTTGGAAGGTTTTCTCACAGAAATCCAGGAAGCCTTGAAAACTGCCCCCACAGAGAAGGGACCCTGAGAAGGAAAGGTCATGGAGCTTCCCCATAATCCCTTGCCTATTTCCATTAGCATAGTGTTCCCTGGAAATACCCTGGTAGATGGGCATCAGAGACCCCCTCCTCTGAGCTGAGGTGAGTGGCAAGGCCAGTTGAGCATGCAGACTTTTCCTTGAATTCCTTAGCCAAGCTCTGACCTCAGTAGGAAATTCAGAATTCAGAAAATCCATGGTGTGTATTCCAAGAACAAAAGAAGCCTCTGCCATAGGTACACATGGCCAGTGTCACCTGTTGCAGGGGATGCTGGGGGAGTAGGGTGAGGTTCAGGTGACTGTGATTGGACAAACCTGCCCTGTTCTGGGACACTGGGAACCTGGGGCATCATTCAGCAAACACTGACCATGATTTAGGAGGAGAGGTGGGAAGGTCTTGAGGGTCATGAAAGGCCAGGTGAGAATTAGGCACCTAGCTCTTATCCTTACCTTACTGTAAGCACGTTCCTGTAGCCCTGAGGCAGGTACCATGGCTCTCCTCCATCATCTGTCATTTTATATCTAGAGGGATGCCACAGGACCAAGGATACACAGCCATGGCTGATTTTATGTCAATGTGACACAGGCTAGAGTCATCTCAGAGAAGGGAACCTCAATTGAGAAAATGCCTCCATAAAATTGGGCTGTAGGCAAGCCTGTAGGGCATTTTCTTAATTAGTGATTGATGGAGGAGGGCCCAACCCATTGTAGGTGGTGTTTTCCCTAGGCTGGTGGTCCTGGGTTCCATAAGAAAGCAGGTTTAGCAGGCCAGTAAGCAGCTCTCCTCCATAGCCTCTGCATCAGCTTCGGCATCTAGGTTCTCACCCTGTTTGAGTTCCTGTCCTGACTTCTTTCATTGACTGACTATGGCTGTGGAAGCATAAGGCAAACAAACCCTTTCCTTCCCAACTTCCTTTTGGTCATGGTGTTTCATCATAGCAATAGTAACCCTCACTAGGACAGCCGTTCTATAGTAACTTGGGCAGCTAAGCCAGGCCTGCATCTTACCACCCTAGAATTGGACAGAGCCCCGGTGCTTCAGGTGGGAAAGAACAAAAGTGGAGCACACAGCAGGCAGTGTGCTCCATCTGCCAGACCCAGACACTGTGGAGCCCCAAGTCCCCAAGCCATGTTCCTTGTATATCTGAAATAGCTGCAGCAAGCCCAGCCAAAGACTAGGGCAGTGCCATCAGAACTCCAAGAGCAGATTTTGAGGTCTGAGGCCACAGTGCATGCCTGCATGTCCTGGATATTGTATCCCAATCCCAGCTGCCTGCTGCTTTCCCCAAGCCCCAAGGGCTGACACATGATAATCCCTTTCTGTCCCACAGTCTAGTCTGAGCCTCAGAGAGTGTCCAAAGTCACCCATCAGGGTGCAGTGCTTCCCACTCAAGCCTAGAGGCCTTTAAATCTCTATCCTACTGTCCCCTTCTCCATCCTCCTCATGGCTATGGGGTTGCAGAACAGTCGCTCCCTTATATTTGAGTTGGTACAACAGGGGTCCAGACTCACATACATCTGGCTTGGAGCAATGGAGGAAGGAAAGAGGAAAAGTGAAATGAATGGCCAGGAGTCATGCTTGGGCTGATTTCCTCCCAGGTATTGAGGACAGGCAATGCCTGCTTTGGATATCATCAGAGCCCAGTCCTCAGAGCCACCTCAGCAAAATAATGCCGCTTCCCCACACCCTGCCACCCTCCCCAAGCCACCCCAGTTTCTGCATCCTGCTCCTTGCTTACATAAAGGTGCTATTTTCAGCTCTTTGTTCTCCCAGCCTTGTTACTCCAGTGTCAGGGCACTCCCTACCCTTCCCCCATCACAAAAGGCATTTCCCATTTCCCATTCTGTATATGGAAAAACAGAGGCACTGAATTACAAAAGCTTCCAAAAGGCCACTTGTGTGTGTGTGTGTGTGTGTGTGTGTGTGTGTGTGTGTGTGCACCCATAGCATTAGATTTCTGCATAACCAAAGGAGAAAAGGGAGGGGACCTTACAGGG